TCTTCAGAACAAGCAATCCGCAAAATTCCTGTTGCATAGTTTCTGCAATCGCCTTTCGGAAGATCTAATTAAGGTTATCGAAACACCTCTGGATAGAAAGAGTTGGTCAAATAGGATTCCCTGATTTCCTTAAGAGAGCGGAGGAGCTTATCCCTAAAAACATATGTATCTTAGCTACAGCAATTGGCTCTAATATGTTAAAATGAGGGACCGTAATTGTTATGAACTTTATAATAAAAATCATAATCATATTATTACCGCTATGTTCAGACTTAATTTTTTAGCTTTAAATCGCGCTGTGGGCATTTTGCCGTACGAGGCAAAAGAAACGTTCTAGGTATTTTTTAAATGATGTCTTTGTAAAGGCCTAGGCGTTTTTTCGCCCACTGAATGTTTAATTCTATTTTTATGGCCATTGGGAAAAATGGCGCGATTGAACTCGACTATATGTATGCCGCTGGATTTACACAGTGGTGATTAGACCGTTTCTTCTCTTTGGAGTTTTATTATGGCGCCCTGCCTTGCTTAAGGCTTCTCATCTTAATCTATTCAGAAAAGTACAGAGTATTCCCTCCACCACTTGTAAGCTGCTTTTAAGAGAACGTATCTCTGACCTGTCAAATTCCTGGACAAATTTGGCGTAGGTGGGATCGAAAACGGTCTCGAAGTTTATATTTACTAAAGAGGGAGGATATATCTCACACAATCGGTGCACTAAGAGGGCACTGCATTATAGGAAAACACGCAGAACGGCTCGGAAGGCCTCACCATAGATGCTGCAGAAGTTGTTAAAACTCTGAGGAGAGACATTTCTCCATCTTCCCTGTAACAGTCCGGTATTATCGAAGTGATTGCCCTTTTTTCCTCTCCTTTCTTTAGTGATCCTAACAAATTGGGAGACAAGCCTAACGTAGCATAAACATGCATACATATATAAATATATAGTTACCTGCAGTCTCATAAATAAATTTAAGAAGTCAGTTGTGACAATAAGTTTTTGTTTCAAGATACAAAATTTAGGTGATACCTTAGTTTAAATCAAAAATGTATTTCCTCGGTATTAACTTTTCTTACACACCTTGCGATGGTTGTACCCCAAAAGCTTTTTAATGATTGAAAAGTTCAAAAACCATGTTTAAAAAAATTTATATTACTTTGCATACAAATTTATTGTATAAATAATGGCTTAGTAAAATGTTAAAATAGACAGCTATAGCCAATTAAAAATCTAACAAAGCCAATAAATTAAAAAAAAAGTCAGCCCCCCGAAATTTTTAATGCTGTTTTTTAATACTTAATTACGAATAAGCTATGTGTATGCTCAGATATCGCTTAATGATAGAAAATGCTACTAATTCTATTAGTTCATATGCAGCCAAATATCCATGAAATAGTTGACATAGGAAATTTTAGGAGTTGCCTCCTATTGCAGACGGGGCCGGCCATCCTCACCACTCATTTATGTACATTCAAATTTAAAGTAGTGTGTCTCAATTACAACACTGTCCTTGCTTTTTTACTTTTCGTTTTTACGCTTTATTACAATTTTTGCTGCATTTCACGCCGATAAAGAGGCGCATAATTCATTTTTTATGCCGTAACGACACCACCACCACCACAGCGACCCTGCCACCGCAACGCCACTCTCCCTGCTGCTGCAGCATAGCATAACTTTCGAGGGATGTGCTTGCATCGAAGATTTATGACACTTTGCGGGGGAAATATTTCCAACTTGCGGTTGGTTACATTTCCCCACGATGCAACGCTTATGACAGCGCTTATTGAATTGACTAGGAGCTGCATTCACATAAAATGCGCACCAATACATATGTATGCATGTACTTACATACATACATAAGCACTTTTACTGGAACATAAGTTCATGCGGAGATTTTTGTGTGGAATTAACTAATTGGGCTACAAATCTCTTGTTCCCGGAAATAATATGCGATGCCTACAAGAAGCTGAAACTCAAATGTGCAAACACATGTGTGCGCTTGTATGTGTGTGTGTTGGTGTGCAATACTTTGGTGGCGGTTGCAATTTATAAATGCAAAGAAATTGCAATTAATAAGGAGTTGCCTGCCGCTGCAGTGAAATGCGCGAATTATGCGGCGCTTACAATTCTTCGAATCATTTGGCGTTGCAATGGAGCGGAAATGGTGATAAATCATTTTTATGCATTTCCAAGTAGGCACCCGGAGATATAAATTAGTGTCAACAGTGCAACACATCGCATACATACATACATACATACATATGTATTTATGTGCGTATCGAAGTGTTGGGAGGATCCTTTGATTCACAATGAGCTTATTACGGATATGTCATTGGTGGCTGCCACAATCTGTAACTTTTACAAATTAATTTAAGTGGCATTAATAAAAAAAAATAAGAATAAACAGCTTTTAATTCTGTGGGTTACAATGCCTCCCATGTGATTACCTAGGAGCCAATTATGAGTCGACATTTTGTTATACTTCTATGTCGATAAATTTGCTAGTTATTCTACATAGGTAGTTTTAAGTTAAGAAAGCAGGGCCATACAGGTCATACAAGGTGATTGACAATTTCATCAATTTCGTATAGGCGACGTCGGCGGCAGGTTAGATTATAAGGAAATCCTATTCGTGACCTATGCTCCATGCCCCCTAACAACGGAAAAAATCGCTTCTGACCTGAAAAATTCCCCTGTATATAATTCGAATTAAGGCTGAGATACGATTCTGGAATAAGGTTAATAAAGAACCCGCCACAGCTAACGCATTAAAAGCCTCTTTTCCAAGAAATGTTGCGATGAGCAGTGACCCAAACTACGCTACTTTGAACTGCCTTGTGATTCTATTCAAAAGGGCTCTGGATTCTATTAAAGGGCGCCAGAGTCACAAAGGCCGTCCGCCTGTTCGAGAAAATGGCAGCCTGCTGGCTTTATCTGCGGTTGAAGCTCCTATTCTTTAAAAAGGCGCCAGTGTTCGGTGATAGTAAATATGTACAAACCACTTGCAAAATCTGCTTCAACTCCGTGCACCATTTTGGATCAGACCAGGGAAGCGTAAGAGCGCGGTAAGCCACGAACGTGTTAAGTTCTGCTAGAGGATGCTACTTTGGGCTTTGCTTGTAACTCGAAATACTTTTTTTATTCTATTTAGCACAAACATCTTAGAAAAAAGCTCTCTCATTCGACACTCGTGATGAAAACCTATTTTGAGAGAAAGCACTTGTATTTCATTTAGCTCACTTCACTCCAACAGTCGCAATGGCCGAGTGGCAAAGCACAGGCGTGCCAATCGAGAGATCCGAGCTCGAGTGCTTGCGCGGCGGATTTTTTCTTCTTTTTTAAGTTTTTAGATTTTTTATTATTAAAAAGGAAACATATATTTTTTAATTTAATTTAATTTTCAGAAATTTATGTATTTTTTCTTTATTGATTTAATTTTTTTAATACAAATATTTTTTATAATAGTTTGATTGTTATTGTTTTAAAAATAATATTGTTTTGATTTATTACAATTTAGGGAAATTAATTTGAAATACATACCTTCTTAAGTTTAGTTAAATTCTCTTTTGTATTTTTAGATTTTACTGTGTTAAACAGAAAAATATATCTTTTTTGTTTATTTCATTTACTTTTTAGAAACTTAAACTATGTTCACATTACAGCATAAATTACTTTGTTTCGATCAAATTACTTCACATAAACCGAGTCCGTTCAAATTTTCTTTCATAATTTCTATAGCACGTGTACGTACGAGTTGTGGTTTGTACTTGATTTCAAAAAACAAATGGTTGCATACCTTTAAGCATTTTTTAAAATTTCCTCAACAGCGGGCGCTAAAATAAATGAAAAATCTTTTTTTCTTCATTTGGTTCTTGATTTATGACAAATTATTAGAAATTAAATTATTTAATTTATCGACAGATTTTACAAAGCGAAATTACTTGATTTCAGCATGATTTGCTTATAAATTACAAATGAGCCTTAAATTACGATGATGTGAACATGCTTTCAGTTTTTTATTTTAATTTGATATTCTTTTGTTAATTTTCTTTTCTTTTAATTTTTAGCTTTTATTGCTTTAAAAAGAAAAATAGTTATTTTTTATTTAATTTTTAGGATCATGTTAATTTTTTTTAAATTGTTTTTTTTTTTAATAAAAATATTTGTAAACTTATTAAATTTTTAAGTGCCATTTCCTTTTTTAATTTTGTGTTTTTCTTATTTAATTTTCTTTTATTTATTAATTTTTATTGTTTTACTAAAAAGAAAAATATTACTTTATTTTATAATTATTTGAAAAATATTACCGTTCTCTTAATTTAATTTAATTTCTAAAAAAGTTATTGCTAAAAGGCGAACAGCATAATGCTAAGACCTTCTCGTTAGCAGATATTTAAATTAGTCTTCCGAAAGACCGTAAAGAGCTTTTCAGAATGGGTCAGATTCATTAAAGGCCTTGAAACCTTTAAACTATAGTTTTTCCCCAACCAGAACGGATTCAAAGAAGCGTAAGAAAAACTTTCCCATTTTGTCGAACCGTCTCCTATAAATTTGGTTTTTGTTGTTAGATCAAAATTGCGGTAAATGGCTTAATACATATGTAGTATACAAAACATATTGTACACGCATAAATGAGTTCCAGATTTTCACTATGAAAAGAACATTTCTTTATATCTTTCAAAATTTAAATTTTTAGGGCGTGCCTCTATGTCTGCCAACGCGACCATATGCGGCACAGTGAAGCCGACGTTATTCTGTAAGTGTACTTAGTGGCGCCAGACACTACACTTTTAACTTATACACACCAGCACTAATTGCGTTTGTATAGATCATTGACAGCTGAACGATTGACAAGTGACCGTGACCAATGAGATCATTTGTCAAATGTCAAACGGGAGTAAAAGAAACAATAAGACAACGAGTGTACTTAGAGAATAATTTATATGCAGAAAACTGAGAATCGATTTTAAAATATCAATAATTAAAAATTTCTTGGACTTACGTGTAATTTGACCAATTCGGGGTAGTCCTTGGCCAGCTTGGACAGATCCTGATAGTTAGCCTTGGCCATGGCTACAATCCATTCTTTCGCTTTTTTGTGCGCCATAGTCACTACTTCGGGCGCCGGTTTCTGCTCTTTCGATTTCTGAAAGTAAAAAGTGAAAATAGATTTCAGACCAAATTAATACATAACACTCGCACTTGTAATAAACACACAAAACTAATTATCACGCTTTAATGAATTTATTAGCTAAATATATGGAGTATATAATTCGTAAGCGCGCCACATTAAAATACCGTTAAGCGCCATTAGGGACTGTCATTAGCGCCGCGACACGATTATAGACTTCGGCGCGCGTACATTTTTGGCTACACGTGTAGAAATTTATGTTCTAATACTTATATCTAAATAAGCATGTATTTACTAAGTAAATACATATGTATAAAATGCATGCATACATATATCTTAACATGTAATTATATGCAGATGAACACAAATCCAAAAGAGTTGAAACACATTTGTGCCTTATGAAAGTAATAATTTTTATTTATGTGGCAAATGTGTGGCGCGCCTTTGCGGCACGGATTTGAGAAATCTTCAGCCAACCCTTGAGTGCTTTCTTCATTCAGCCTTGTTGTTGTTGTTGTTTTCGCAGCGTAATGTAAAAAAGCGACCAAAAAAAAATAAATTATGTAGAAAGTAACTGCTAATGAGTTTTCTTGCCACAAAGCACATATAAAAGCCTTGGAAGCACTCTTTAACCCCTCCCCCCCCCCTCTCTTCCCTCCGCTGTCCACCCCCCCTTAATTACAACTTTTTCGCGCGCGACATTAACATGTGTGCCATCTTATTTATGTACCTACAAACATACAACATTTTCGGCAACTAATTATCCCCGCGTAATGTTCGACGACGTTACGCAGGCGTTGTTGCTGCTTTTGTTTTTGTTTTTTTTTTCGCCTTCCATATGTAACATGTTTAGTGCTTATTATGTGCGTTTTACCTGCGGGTGTAGCTTCGAGTGTGTGTGCGTATTTTTGGTCCTGTGCGTAGCAGCGTAAGGTAACAAGGCTTTTGAATCTACGCGCTTGCCCTGTAGGGCCTCATATCTGCCACCAGCGCCAACCACCCCTATTTTATGTACAACTTCTCATACACTGGTGCTCATTTGGGCGCAATTATTAAGCTAATAAATAAAATTAACTAATTTCGAGCATAGCATCTACGTATTCTCAGAGCTTTTCTTCCACAGTAATTTCCTAGTATATGTATCTCTACTTAATGTAGCAACTTTTGCCGTGTGGCATGCCTGCCGCATGTTGCCACCACACGTGGCACTTTTCAACACATTCTCTACACTTATAGTTATGCCCACTTGACTTCTGTAGTGGCTCTCGCTTCTATAATTGCATTAAATGCTTAAAATTGCATAGCCGCTCTAGGATAGTCACAAAAGGTTAAGCAAGTAAAAAGCATACAAATATTTTGGCTTGGCTTCACTCAAACACGTGTAGGCCTATAACTAAATTAATGCTTCACTTAACCTGATTTATTTAATTGTAATAGTAAACAAATACCACGCATAGAGATTGTGTGTGAAAAATTCGTCGATGAAGTCAAAAATCTGAACATTACCGTTGATAGCTGGCGCGCATCGAGATGACTCTTATTAAAAAAAAAAATTGGTCTATAGCAGAGGTGGCCAAAACTCACACAATCATATATTTCAATTTTGCTAATGAAGAGAATAAGTCGCTCACGCGCCCGATGCAAACAGTGTTGTCAACGTTTTCGAGTTGTAAATTGTATGAAAAAGGGATTTTGAAGTTGGACTTTAGGGCCTTTGAGCCCCGTCTTAAAGTCTGATTATGCACACTTCGCATAACTTCGCACAACTTCTTTAACGTAACGTAAAGTTATTATCCGATTTTAAAATATTTTCGCAGGTCATGTTTTTATGACTAAATGAAGCTTTCTGGGGGAAGTTTTGCCTTGTAGGACAAAGTCTACTGCATATGCATGATGATATTCATTGAATTATTTTGCAAAACTATAATTAAATACAGAAGCGAAGTGTGTTAGAGACCACATAAGGAAATTTTTTTGTAGAAAAAACGGAAATCTGAATTTTTGCTAATCTTTTAATGGATAACACAGCCCAACAAAAAAAAAAAAAAAAAAATTGGTACGGCAAATGTTAAAGCTGTTTTTGAAAGTATTTTTTGTGCTGATTACGACTCCGTAAGCATGAAGTTTCCATCAGCTCCAGATTTTGAAAAAAAAAACAACAACATCAAAGTGTTAAAACATCGCGATTTTTGCAATATTTTAGAAGCTCTAGCAAAGAAACAAAATGTGATAGAACCTTCCTGGCTTAAATTAAACCTAGATCTCTATGGGCACGACACCCACAGAGCCCTTTACAGCTGCGCGGGTATGATGCCATCGGTCCTCGGTGATTTGAAGGGTTTCAATGAATTTATCGCCCAGGCCATGTGACGATCGTCCAGAAGATCGGAGAAGTACCGGACCCGAAAAGTAAAAATTTCTACTATATTTGACTGTACTGCGAAATACGAAGTACAAGAGCTAAAAAAGATATACTGTACTTCCGAAAGAAGTACGGTTGGTCACATTAAGTATGACCAATATGCACGCGCTTTTAATATTTCTCAGCAACGGTTAAATAAAAATGGTTTATCATTCCCTTTTGATCATAACAAGGCTCCCCCGTTGGAGGTTGACAAACCCAAAGGTCTTGTTTACAAGGAACAATAAGCAATGTAATAAAATTTATGCGTTAAGTTAGTGGAGCCTTTATTCCTATCGGTTTACTCCCGAGGGGAGTATTTAGTACTCGTATATTAGCCGTCAATAACCACAAAGGACACAATTATAAATCTAAGAAAAACAAACCAAAAGTTGTTGTTATACATCTTTCAAGTGTGTCCCGCCGCAGCGGTTAGAATTTACAAACAAAGAACAAGGGCAAGCGGAGGAGGGGGAGGGGCGGGCGGAGTTCACCAAACTACAAGCACAACGCGCAGCAACAATAACACAACCAGCAATGGCGTAGATGAAAGGACAACGCGAAGACCCATTTTGTGGGTTTCGGCGGTGACCGCCCCAAAAAAAAAAAAAGGATACAACACAGTTACACGACGAAAGGACAAAAGGTAAATTCTCACAACAAACTGTAACATTAAACACAAATGCGAAATTTCCTGTTTTTATCCAGGACGGGTTAAGTAATGTGTGTTGTAGGAATCCGTTTTCTATCCTTCCGAATACACACATACACTTAGATAGTAGGAAAATATGAGGGCAGAAGGACAATTTTCACAATGGCAATGGCGTTTCATCGACTACTGCTGGCTGTTCCAATAACAAAGCAAAGCAAAGCAGGGGAAAACTTTTGGGCCAATGCCAGGGCGGTCGGTGGAGCTGCGGTGCGGCGGTGCGGCGGTTTGCTTGCTTATGTCTGACGCTTAACATGGTCATTTCGCCGTGAGGCCTTGCTGTTGCAGCTCGTGCTCGATCGAATAATTTTTTCATGCTACTCTCGTATTGCCATATTGTTGCCATTCATTGTGACTGCTGCTGCCATCGTGTGGCCGGACGCCACCAACTCATGCTTTTGCTGATTTTACTACTTTTTCGTGGTTGTTGTGGCAGGTAGACATGTACATACATATGTATGTAGGTATGTCTACTTACTTGCGCGCGCTGCAATTTACCGTTGCTGCCATTTTGCTGTTAATTCATTGTTGCCACTGTGTGCAGCAGCAGCACACAAATGTATCTATGTACTTTCGGAAATGGTTGTTGGCATACCTTTTGTTGTATGTAGTTGCTGTTGTCATTTCGTTTGCGGCAAACGCTTAATTAACTTTCAAATTAAAATTTGTATTCATGTCTATTTGCTGGTTAAATCCATTGTTATCGTTTCGGCAGTAAAATGGCTAAATTGTTAAAATATCAGCATTCAATTGATATTGAACAGCAACAACTACTGAATTATTCGTATGCCAAAAAGGGGTTTGTAACTGCCAAAGCGCTTATCGCTTATCGCTTATCACAGCGGCATAGCGGTGGAGCTATTCATGAAATTGAAATGCAAATTTATCGATGACGTCGCTGGCATGCAAAATGAAAGAAATGTTTAAGTATATTAAAAGGTTATTTGTAGTGTAACAACAACAAAATATCGCTGACATCGACATAGTACAAAATATTGTTCTCAAACATAGATAAGAATTAGCCAGCGATAAGGCACTTCCGATTAGGTTTAGGCGCTTGAATGAATTTATTCAATAATTGCCGCGTTGTTTAATTAAAATCAGTCCTTTGCGATTTCATTTACGGATTGGGAGCGTAGTCAAAAAGAAATGGAAAAGAGGGGAGGATTCATTGAATCCATCGTAGTTCCACGTTTCGTGAAAACTGCGATGTATACGCGACGTGTGTGTTTCCCGCGGACAATTTGTCTGTACTAAAGCATTCTCAAACACTTTTCGATTGAAACCCCAAATTGTAAAATTTTAGTTAACTTGCATATGTGCATATTTAAATAAGTTTAATTTAAACAAAGTTGGCAACCCTGTTGATAAATTTGAGCGGGTCAAAGCTTACACAAGAAGCCTTCATTTTATGCTGATGATAGGATAATTCACTGACATTATATGTACATATGTATATTTAAATTAATTTTTTAGACAGGTAGCAACCCTTTTCAAAAATTTGATTGGAGTAAAACACACACAACCACCCCTTATTTGATACCCAAAATGGTATATTTTACTGAAATGTATACATAAATTTAATTTAATATTTAGATAGGTGGCAAACCTATTGATAAATTTGACCGGATCAAGGCTTACAGAAATAGTCCTCACATTATATTCATCATAAAATGATTTACTGAAACTATATATGTATCTAAACTAACTTTTAAGATACATAGGTGGCAACCCTATTAAAAAATTTTATTATTTCATATTCATAAAGGAATAATTTATTGAAATAACATACATATGTATTATATATTTAATTTAACTTTTCAGGAAGTGGCAACCCTATTAAAAATTATTACATCTTAATAAAAGTGCACAGAACTGGCTTTCGTTCAATAAAAGTGTTGCAAA